TCAAAGAAGTTTCCAAAGATTTTAAGACAGACGTGCTCTCCTCTTCTCAGAGAATCAAGCGCTGAGGAATAGTGATCTTCTACCACCTCATTAAAGTTATCAGTAATTAACGGATGGTTATACATGTTTTCAGCGATATGCTGATAATCATATCATATGCAAAGGACTGATTCAGGAAAAAATAAATCATGGAAATTAATTAAACATACTGTGGTCAAGAAACTTAAAAAGCATAAGCTCACTACCATACTTTAAAATTGATGGAAGGTAAGAGAACAGTTGAGAGTAAGAAATGAAAGGCTTATTATTTTCTTTCAAAGATACCCTTACGGGTGATTCAGTGCGGGTAAGACTCGACCCACAGTTTAGAAATAAGGTCAATTTAAATACCTCAGAGAATTTGTGCGCTGAAAAGCCAAATTAATCTTTGACATTTCTAAATAAACATCTGATAATCTTAACAAGTTTGAAAGGACCTTTCGGTGGAAATTCTGTGAAAATTTCTGACTGCCAGACATTTCGTCTATTTTTCTTTAACTCCCATGAGTGACCAAGACAGAATTCTCCATACTAAAGAGAATTACTAAAGAGATCTTCGGAGTGAAAGGATTCACCAATTTCTCATGATAAAACCTTTCAAGATCCGCGCTAAATTCCAATGGTAACTTCTTTGCAGATGGCGTCCTCTGTTTCAACATAATGAAAGAGGAATTAGAACACTAGTATCAAGAGATGATGACGGAGCTGGAGAAATTTGGCGAATGGATGTGCATGTCCAAAGAGTCTTCACCTTTCTCTGCAGCAGAGGACTTGCTCAGTGATTGCTGGGGGTTCGTTTACAAAGCTTAGAAGCGCTAAGAAACATAATAGAAAATCATTGTTTTAGCTGACTTGCAACATCATTTATGATGTTGTTGTGATGTTTTGATGTTAAATCAAAAGCAAGTATATGAAATAGATCAAACTGTTCAAACGACTTTGCCCTGAAGTTGTACTTACAGTTTTGCACGTGCTGGGTGGGCGTCGAGACCGCAGCCATTTTAGATTTTTTGACACGGCTTGCGTTTTATTCCTGATATTCTAAATTGTATTTTTATAGAAATTAAGAGGACATCCGTGCAAAAATCAAACAAAAATGAAATTTTTATGGCAAGGGTCAAAAATTCAAATTGTCTCAAGTTTTGCACACAAGTAGACCCTAGTAAGACATGAAAGACTATGTATTTTTTTCCTCAAATGTGTTTTTTTTTTCGAGAAAAACGAACTTTTCGCTTTCACCCTCTAGAATCGATGGACATAACAGGTCGAAAATTGAACACTTTCGCTCGCTTCGCATTTCAAAGATATTACGTCTAGGGAAATCTTATCAACGTGTGCTCTTTCATAGACTCTTCGTATTCTGTAAAGGTAAGGTGCGTAGTAGAGGGGCATTTTGTTGCGCATGCGCCAAGAAAATTTGTTCGGCGCGTTCGGCCCCATTTCGGTATTTTCAGCGCGCTTTTGCAGGTTTTCAACTGAGCGATCGACACCTTTCTGTGATATTTTTTGGGGAGGGATGAAAGAGTATGACAAGTTTACCACCATTCCTAACTCTGTGGATACTCGTGGAGTTTGCTGGCTCGTCGGATGAGGATATTTTAATGATCAAAGTGCGAACAAAACGCGAAAAAAGGCCGAAAACTTGAAGTTTGAGATTTGATTTGCTGACGATAAAGATGTGCACACGAGACTACAAACCTTGAAGGTTAGTCTTAAGATGTTGATGTCTTACTTCTATGAATCACGAAGAGGTGTGTGGAGGCGATCGTGAGATATTCGTTTCGATAATAGAAGGTAGTTTACAATTTGATCTTATTTTACTTCAACTTTGAAATAAAATTACGTTAAGTTCGAGGTGGCCCCCAAGCTTCAAATCACTTCAAATAACATCTTCTCTTCTTTCTCTTTGTAGTCCCACAGGACACAAGGCTTAAAAAAATGTTCCAGCTTCAGGATTGAGTTGCTCTTTCTACAACCTTCGGCGAATTCGTTTTTGGGAGGTTGAGGTGGATTTTCCAAGTCATGACTCACAACTGTCTTTGGCCTTTTTTCTCTCCAAGTCTGTTGTACTTTGTATGTAGGCATGTGTCTTCACAACGTTTATAGTCTTGCCTCGATTCTCTCCGGTTTTATCTTATTTTGTTGCTGTGTTTTTGTGAGAATTTTTCTGATTGCCCTTTTGGGCTTGAAGTGCTATGTAGAGGATAAACTTCGGTAGAACTTGTTTAATCACATGGCCCCCAAATCCCTCACCACTGTCAGTTCATTGTGTATTTATTTAGCTTTCGGTCTAACCAGTTCATTTACCTTTGTTGTTTGGCATGTATAAGAGTCTTTTCAGACCATCAAATTGTTATACAATTCTTGTAATTTAATAGGTTGGAGGATAAGGTTGCAAAGAGTGTATATGATTTTGTTGTGCAGTTGAAATGATAAATGAAAGTGATTTTTGATTTATTTAACTATTCGTCTTATAACTGGAAGCCCAAACAAGTACTTCTTTTCATTCAAAATTTCCCCACATCATCAATATCTGATGATATTTCTGAGACTAATGATTGAAAAGACTTTATCTTACTCTGATAAAATCAATAATTATTCCTCCATTTCTAACCAGATGGAGCTACCATATCTCTAGCACTAGCATTGTTTTACTTTTCTTTACTCGAAATTGACCTTTTTTATTTATTCATATAAAAAAAAACTTTTGGAAACAAAACATAAACTTCTCTAAACTTTAAATTTTTGCCAAAATTGGAAGTACACTGCACTAGCAGCATAGTTGAAGCTTTAAAAAACGTTTACAGGAAGGCGAGTACTTCAAGTGATCACTTATAACTTGAGATAGCAATGACACGATAAAAGTGTACTATCCAATTCTTTTGTCCTCTTCGACAGGCCACTTGCATCCTTCAAAAATAACATCATCTACATCGATCGCCCAAACAATCACAAGACAAGACTCGAACAATCTTTTGCATTTTGGAAATAACTTCCTTCCACACATCACACAATAGTTTCAAGACTTTGCCGCTTCCATCTAAGTTACAGAAGAAAAATAAGAAGAAAGGTTGTCTCAAATACTTGAACCATTGTTTTTTCCGACCTATTTTACTGCTTCTTTTCTTTCGCAATTCTCGAGCGGGAAACTTACGCAGGCGCATACCAGCGGTTTCTCGTATCAAACTAAAATTTATGAAACATGCACAACAAAATGCCCCTCTGCTAAGTTGTGTAGGAATTGTTGCTTAGAAGCTTTTAGCCATTCGAAAAAACAATGTGCTCTCTTCCGTTACAAAAAAATTTCGGTGAAGAAAACCTCTTTTTTCACCATGTGCCATTATTCAGAATTCCGCCAAATTACGTATGTAAACTGCCGAAGGAATGATCTTCAAAATGACGTAAAGTTTGCGCAAATGTTTTCTCGCGACGCAGGAAACTCTTCAAAATAGCACACGGAAGACATAAAATCACGCAATATGTGGATTGCGTGACCAAAGAGTTAAGGAGCATTCCTGCCTTTGAAATTACTCAAAATCGTACAGGAGAACTTTTTCAGAAACAAATAACAAATTCATACCCAGTTTTGTTAAATTACTTTGTCTTTCATCATTTGAAGTTTGTTTCTGCAGACATATTCTGCCATCGTTCTGTCTAATACGATTATGCAGCAGTGTCAGCAACGGTATACGATTAAAAACCTTGCTGGTCTCTCGCATACGAATCTTAAGTTTCTGCCCCTTACTTGACTTGCTAACCCGTGCCTTTTAACTTGCCCCTACGGTAAACGAAAATCCACAAAATGTTACCTCACAGAGGCCCCTGCAGGAGTTAAGTGAGGGCTTGCGTGACCTAATTTGCATAATTGCGGTACGAGTCGTCGTGCTCGTGTGACGGAATAATTTGGACCTACGAGAGGGGTCGGTCGACTTCATTTAAATAGGCACGAATACGAGGAAAAGAAATAACGAGTCTAGATATCCATTTTGCTCTGAGTTTTCCTCAATTTTTACTTGTGTTACATTTTTTTTCCGCGCGAGTAAAACCATGATGTTTGTTGACTATTCTATTTAAAAGCGAGACAGTTAATTAAATTAACAAAACTTAATAAAAATTGCTCCATTCGATTTTTCTCACGTGAAACTAAGAAAAATAATTATTTTCCGCCCCTTTGAATCGGAAGTCTCGCTTGTGAATGAAACGGAAGCTTCTTGCTCGGTTAAGTTTATAGTTGGAAGTGCTTGCTCGTACGACCGACGAGACAGGAGTAAATTATTTGAGGTGGTTCCCTTGGTGTCTTGCAATAAGGATGTACAGGGTCATAAAAGTGCTTGGTGTTTTGCCGGAGTTGAGAACGAGAGTGAACTTATCCTTGCCCGAGCAGGTATTTTTTACATGAGTGCAAAGGATATAAACGCCTTAACAATTTTTCCATTCCACCGTTCTGAGCTTGGCACTGGATGGCGAAGGAGCCAGAATACCTGCAGAATTCCAGATGAGATCGCTTCCCACGGCAAAGGAAAAGGTGTCAAGGGAGACAGAGGCGTTAGCAGAGCGATATCAAAAGTTATATTTCAGATAACCGGCATCCTTGTACCTCTAGTAAAGCCTTTATTTAAAGAGGGTGGCACTTAATAGCTAATAAACTTGTGGCCCTCAAAAGTTCCTCCTCCTCCTACTACTCAAACTACTCAAACTACTCAAACTTGTGCTTTGAATATATCCTCAGGCCAACAGTAGTGATATACCAATGAATCCTACGGTTACTCTAGAAAAACATGAACCTTCTGCATTGGCTGCGGAAACAACGGAGACCCTTTACCACCCATCTGAGAGCTCAGAAGATTTTGAAAGCGCAAAAGAGGTAAAAGGTACTTGTAGTAGTTCTGAAATACCACCGGGACTGACCGCGGAAACACCTGGGAGCTTTTACCACCCATCTGAGAGCTCCGAAGATTCCGATGGCGCAAAAGACACAACGGCGCAGAACACAACGCTACCACATTCGGAAAGCAAGACAAGTTGTGATAGCAGCCCTAGAGGAAATTGCACCTGGGAACGCTGAAATCCTCTTGAGTAAACTAGTGATATCAAACGTCGTCGCACTGACAGAGAACGAAGTTGACTTAACGCTTGTTGACGCCTTAGCAGAATGCTACAAGAGTGCGAGCCACTGGAGCACACGAAGGCAAATCCTATCCATTATTGCTGACAAAGTTATCTATCGAACGTTACAGAGTTGGATTCCTGGTCTAACACGACATAGATATAATGTCGCCAGGCAACACGCTCACATGTATGAAGGAGGTGCTGAAGTTGAAACTCGTAGTGTACCGAGAATGTATGTCTCAGCCTCACAGCTCGACCACTTCCTTGACTTCATCACAAGTGAACACATTGTCCAAGAACTTCCATTTGGTGATCGGACATTGAAATTATCATCCGAAAAGAAAATAATAGTACTCAATGTGGTAAGAAAGGTCATCCCAGAGCGAGTTATTCAACAGTATAACCTGTTTTGCACCGAGACGGGTTTTGCTCCGATGGGACGCAGCACCCTTCATAACATTCTAGATGTGTGCTCTGCTAGTGTAAGGAACTCATTACAGGGACTCGATTACTTTACAGCGCAAGGCACACAGGCTTTTGATGATTTAGAGAGCGTTGTCGATAAGCTCGGAGAAGACTGTGGGATGGGCTCATCCTGGGTGAAAGAAAAGAAGGAACAGCTCAAGGAAGGAAAGAGATATCTGAAGAGTGATTACAAGGTACCATTATTATCCCTATTATCATTATGATTATCATTATTACTATTATTACGATCATAACACTAAAAATAATCGAGTGTGCTTCATCAGTTCTTATCACAATACAGAGATATGAATTATTAATAAATACATGCAGCTAGACAGGGACCATAGTCATTATCATACCTTTCCAGTTCGAGATTTTTGTTTTCAATTAATAGGTACACATTTCAACGAGCTCAAGTGTACCAGACCATTGTCGAGCCTACGCGCTAAGTTGTCCAGACGACACAGACTACCTTAAAATTTGCCATCACAACCACAACCACACATGCGACCGGTGTTCTCGTCTTACATCTGTTGTTGCTGAAATCGAGAGAGCTGTACAGGAAGTGGGAGGCACAACCGATACGAAAGGAGATTTGGCCTTTGTGACTTTACAGTCCAAACAATACATAAATTCTTGGAAATCGCACTTACTGCGTTCAACAAACCAGAACGAGTCTAGATTAGACGTCATCGATAAGCTGGATGAAACTTCTGTCTTACTGGTCTTAGACTGGGCTATGAAATATCTACCAAAGAAATTCAGGGAGAGCCAAACAGACCGGTTTGGTAAGAGGTCTGCCATGGCATCACAGTTGCGACGAGAAAGGGAAATGATGGCAAGATTGAGATGATGACATTTGTACACTTATTTGAGACCTGTAACCAGGACAGTTCTGCAGTTCTTGCCATACTTAACGACGTCTTTCGTCGACTGAAGGATGTCATGCCTCATTTACAATCTATTTATCTTAGACAAGACAACGCCGGGTGTTACCACTGCGCTTTAACCCTGATTACAGCCAGCAAAGTAGCAGAGCTAAATAAACTACGCAGAATGGATTTTTCAGATCCCCAAGGAGGGAAGGGATCTTGCGATCGGAAAGCTGCAACGATCAAATCCCATATGGCCATCCATTTGAATTCAGGCCACGATATAGAGTCGGCATCTCAAATGCAGGAGGCAATAGAACCATTTGTAGGTATCCCTGGAGTAAAAACAGTATTGTGCAGGCCTCCTATGTCTTTCATTAAAAGCCCTTGAAATGGGATGGTGTGAGCTTTGTAAACAACGTTCATTATGGCGAGGAAGGTGTGAGAGTATGGAGATCCTACAAAATTGGAAGAGACAAATTCATTCCTTGGAGCAAGTTTCATGTTCCTGACCAGGACGAAGTTCCAACTCTGGAATGCAGTGCAGCAAGCGAAAATATAAAAGCAAATTTTGTTCCTATCAAGCCGAGACGAGCAGAGGTTGCTAAAACATCTCAAAAGCACAAAGACAGCACTGATGAAGGTACCGATGATTCAAGTGAAGAATCGCGCACTTCCACAACTAAAAATATTTTTTTCTGCTCGGAAGAGGGTTGCATCAAGTCCTATCAATGCCATTCGTCATTACAGAAGCATCTCGAATGTGGGAGACACAAATATATTCTTGAATATGAAACTCTCTACGACCGCGCCGTGCTAGGGTATGCCTCGAGACTGGAGAAGGGACCGGGTGCTGTGCCGGAACTGCGGGACACGGAATCCACCCCGTCATCGTCTGTAGCTTCTGTTGAAATGGGATGGGCCTTAAAACAGAGTCGTTCTCGCAATATTCGTTTCACTGATGAGCAAAAGTTTTTAATCGTATACCGTTACTGGCACTGGTGAATAACTGTACTAGACAGAACGATGAGAGAATATCCCTGCAGAAACAAACTTGAAATGATAAAAGACAAAGTAATTTAACAAAACTGGGTATAACTATGTTATTTGTTTCTGAAAAAGTTCTGCTGTTCGATCCGAAGTCATTTCGAAGGCAGGAATACTCCCGAACTCTCTGGTCACGCAATCTACATATTGCGTGATTTTATGTCTTCCGTGTGCTATTTTGAAGAGTTTCCTGCGTAGCGAGAAAACATTTGCTCAAAAATTTACGTCATTTTGAAGATCATTCCTTCGGCAGTTTACATACGTAATTTGGCGGAATTCTGAATAATGGCACATGGTGAAAAAAGAGGTTTTCTTCACCGACACTTTTTTGTAACGGAAGAGAGCACATTGTTTTTTCGCATGGCTAAAAGCTTCTAAGCAACCAATTCCTACACAACTTACCTTTTACAGAAAACGAAGAGTCTATATAAGAGCGTACGTTGGTTAGATTTCCCTTGATGAAATATCTTTGAAATGCGAAGCGAGCGAAAGTGTTCAATTTTCGACCTGTTATGACCCGATGCATCGATTTTAGAGGGTGAAAGCGAAAAGTTCGTTGTTAAGGATATCGAACAAAAGAACAGTTTTTTGATTAGATCAATTATCAATTACTTTGTGTGCCTAGTTACGATCGTAGTTACAATGTTTATCTTTTTCCTATTGGTTTGTAATCGGATCTTTTAGCGTCACCACGCGCATATAAAAGCTAAGTTAGCGTCCCTTTAAGCCAGTACCTTCGTTCTTTCGTTCTAAACCTTTGGCACAAGCGGAACCGAAATGTAAGTTATTTTGTCAGTTTTATTTCAATGTGTTTAAGTTTAGTTTTTCACCTTGGGTGATAGCGCACATTTGTACTGTGTTGTACAATAGTACAACTAATTATCTTGAGATCAAAAGAGTAATTTGAAAGAACTAAACGCTCAGACAGCAACGCCCACATTTTGGTCTTTTGGCTGTTAATCAGCCGCAAATGTTCATCGTGTAGCCGATCTTTGAATCTCGAGTAGTTTCAATTTAGCCTTTTATGATTTGTTTATGTTGATTTACGTTAATTGTTATTTTAATCGCGTTATCGACATAGGCACGTAAAGCGTTTCTTTCATGCCTTTCGCACCAATTCAAGTAGATTCATGCATGCGTTATAATATTATTGTAATTTCAGTTTACGATCGTGATCGTCTTTGTGATTGTCTTCGTCATTGTCTTCGTGATCTGAATAAACACCGTTAACCGTCATCATGGTTTTCGTGGTTTTACTACGACCTGTAAAATAGTCCCGACATCTGCGACACTTAGCAAACACGCCTTAGGCCTAGTTTATACGTCGCGCTACAGTCGAATTTAATTCAGACGAATTTAATTCCATTAAATTCGTCGTTCCGTCGACACAAATCGTGGCGTGGTTTTATACGTCGAAATCAATACGGTCGAATTTAATTCTCTTCCCAAATGCAGTGTCTCTGGTCAGAGGTGTCATTTTGAAACAAACATGGCGCGGGCTAAAGCTCTGAAAACAATTTTGCTCGAGAAAATTTCCAGGAAAGACAACGGCGACGTCAACTACGGCGTAATATGGTTACATTGGTGTTAATGAGGAAAAGGTTTATCGTGCGACTTTGTTTGCTGACGTGTCTCCTGTTACAGTCAAGTGAAGATGAAATTAGCGCTCTAAGACCTCGCAGTTGTCGTCGCAGTCATAAAAACACAAGTTGGTGGGAATTGGTCTGGGTGTCCTATGATGAAGGAAGATTTAAGAAAACTTTTCGTGTATCAAGGAATACGTTTAACTTAATTTTGAAGAGTCTTCGACCTGATATTGAGAAAGATTTTGTCACAGAGCAGCCCGTTTCTGCCGAATGTAGGCTGGCTATATGTCTTTACAGATTAGGTAGAGGTGACTACCTATACACCATTGCGGAACTGTTTGGCCTTTGTGTGACGACCGTTCACAAAATCATAGAGGAAGTATGTGAAGCGATCATAAGAAACCTGTGGAAACCTTCGGTGCAAGCGCATTTTCCAATCACCAAACAGAATATTATGGAGAAAATGGTGGATATGACAGCGTTTTGGCAATTCCCCTGCTGCTGGAGTGCTGTAGATGGGTGCCACATCCCCATTCAGTGCCCTCCTGATGGTCTGAAAGCCTGTAAAGAGTATCATAACTTTAAGGACTTTTATTCAATAGCATTGATGGCCATTGTAGATGCACAGGATCGTTTCATCTGGGCAAGTGTTGGTTTTCCAGGAAATTCACACGATTCCATCATTTTCCAGTCCAATGATTTGTGGCACAACATTACTGAAAACAACATCATACCATCAATTTCTCAATTCATTGAAGGTACCGAGGTTTACTCGATGATTTTGGGCGATTCTGCTTTCCCATTCAGAGTGTGGTTAATGAAACCATATGGTAATGCTAACCTTACACCTGAAGAGGGCTATTTTAACTATCGTCTAAGCCGCGCAAGAATGGTAACTGAGCGAGCCTATGGACAACTGAAAAGCAGGTGGAGAGTTTTGTATCGAAAGCTAGAATGTAGACCAGATTCGGTGAAACTGGCCGCGCTCGCGTGTATTCTACTCCACAACATCTGCATTACCACGAAGGACAGCCTTCCTGCCCAACTGGATTTGTCAAGGTCCAGAGAAGAAATACGAGATCTGTTGCAGATGCGCAACTGCCCTAAGAGAAAGGATTCATCTCGCAAAGCTGGAGTAATAAGGGAGGCTCTGACCAGGAAAATGTGGCAGGAAAAAGAAGCAAACGAACTGGAAATGTAGACGTGATTAAAACAATTTTTTTGTCATCCATGTTATTTTCAAAGTTCTTCATAGATTGTAACAAATAAATCACTTCACATTTCAGGTAAACTTCATAAAAGCAACAGTGTGTTTTTCCATAAAATATTCAACGCCCCTGTGAAGTTTTTGTTAGACCTCAAACTCCCGCTAACTTCGGCAACCGTCTTAAACTTTAGCGCGTACTTCAAGAACTTGCTACTTGCCTTAACGCCGGAACGCGAGTTCTACTCTCTTAATCCACGGGGGTAGAAATGAATATTTTGTGGAACTGTCTCAATTTCAACTTAGGAATTACATGTACAAGCCCTGCAAATCGGCATAATATGAAAAACTCGCTTACTTCACTATTACATTTCTTTTCAGTACACATAACAGAAAAAAGAATCAAATTGGACCAAAGGTACTGAATGTCATGACATTCCTAATACGTTTGTTGCATTACTTCTCATCAATGCTTTAAGCGACCCATTTTAAATGCAAGTTAGAAATGCACAGGTCTCGAGTTCATGTTCAAGCAAGCAATGATAGTCATTGGATCAAGGAATACTATTAATATATGACATTACTTTACATCACTGTATATTTTTCAGACATTACATACAGTACCATGAGATAAACACTGTTATGATGAGGATTGCAATACTGTAATTCAGTTGTTATTTCCTTCGTTAAAGAAATGTATCGATTCTTTCACCATATAATTTTCCTTTGTTTTCCAACTTTTGTAATATAACTTCAAACAAATTAACAAAGGGATATAAAAAAATGAACGAAAAGATTCAAAGTGAAACACAACATTTGAATGATTTGTAAACCATAATGTACATTTCAGTAATACACATTATGATATCCTGTTCCTTTCATGTTTTTGAGGGAACAACTTTGAAAGGGTATCTACACTGTCACCAGATGAGATGCATTTAGGCTAATTTATATGAAGGGTAGCCTTGAGGAGACAGCAGTACTTATTTTCCATTGCACAAGTTTTTGTTTTGACCACTCATAACCACAAAGTAAACATTAAACAGAGAATTATTGAGGATCGTATCTTGACAACCAAAACATACCAAACTACCTATGGTGGTATCTCAGTGCAAAGAAACTACATGGGAACTCAGGTAATATTATTAATACCTCTGCTGCCAAAAATTAAATAGTTTGGCCTGCACCTGTACATAATTTGCATCCACTTCAGGAACATTGCCAGGTACACCTTATAAGTTGGCTATCAGCTCATTCAATCAATTATGACAGTTAACGGTACAAAACTTACTGGTCGGACATGATCACCACCTCGTTGATATTTGCTTTAAAATATGTTCTCAAAGTGCCTTTAACACCCCCACCCCCTCCCCACCAACTGTTTCCCCAATTTTTCCCTCAAATAAATATTTGTATTTTTCTCTCAAATACATATTTGTATTTTTCTGAGCATAATTCCACTGTTTTGTCTTAATTTGCTTAAGACCTGGATTTTTATGGATAACGACAACGACCAACTTGGACCGCAAGAAGCATGGCTCTATTCCTGTTTGACATCACAGACTGCTTTCAAAGCATTTTGCACTGCAAAGCAGTTTGTGATGTCATGAACAAGGAATAGATCCATGCCCCTCACAGCTTGGTTGTGTTTGAAATAAAAACAGACTTAATTTACAAATTCTTTTAAAAAACCAATATTTAAACAAAATGCTACACTTCTTGAACCATCATATCAGTGCAATATTGAGATTTCTGCTGGTGGAAAAAGATTATTTGAGTTATAGGCACTTCAAGACCATAGTGTAGAAGGCTCTTTTCAAAGCAGTTCCAAAATAACTTTAAAATATTAGATTGCATGCCAAGACCCTTTCAAAATTGGTACAACTGTGAAACACCAGATTGTCCTTGTGAAGTCATAGTTGACTGAACGTGATGTAGGAGAGACTGCTCATCATTTTTTGGAGCAGATGACATCAATGGTGTGTACCCAAAGGATGGGGTACTTGGGTGACTGCTACTAGCTCTGGGATTGGACACAGATTGTTGTGCAAAATTATGGCTTTGATGATGAAAATCATCAGAATAAGAACTGCTATAAGGATGGAAATTACCATGGGGTTGCATGTTTGGATTGCTGTTGGGTGTTAGTGGGCCACACATCAACTGGA